TTCAATCTTTCCCGGCATCAGGGTCTTCTCCCAAGAGTTCTCTATTCGGCCTAGGTGAGCAAAGTCTCTGAGCTTGAGCTTTATTAACAAACACCCAAGCTTAATGAATGGCAAAATGTTTCAGGCTTATTGAGGTTTTCTTTTGCATAATTTAGGTGATGACAACTGTGATGAGGCCAGAAAAAAGATTTTCTTCTGACAACTCTCCCATGCAGATAACTGTTGTATAAGCAATACTCTACTGTGGACCTGAGGACAACTATTTCAGTCTTAACTAAACTTTGCAGCAGGACATTTGCTGTGATCTGTGGATTCTCTTTCGTGGATCTGACTAGTTTGAGAGAAGCTCTAGCAAAGATTATTCTTGTATTCCAGACTTCAACAGTTCCATGTAACATCCATTTCTTAACATTATTTCTCAGAGTTTAAGTTGCTAGCTGGAAGTGTTTAATGGGTTTTTGTTTTTTAAAAAGGCTTCTCTGCTTTGTTAGAGCAAATTCATTTTCAAATGCTCAGACAGCTGCTTAGAGGGGCCCATGGTTGCTCAAAATAGAACAATCATTACCTGAGAGGTTAGAAGGGTCAATCTCCTTTTTGGGCCTTTTAACAATTTTCCAATTAAAAAAAAAAAGCACTGAATCAAATGTATGGGTGCTCAAACTTCTGTACTTGTCACGTTCGCTTTTTACAATTTTGAATCTGAAAACTGCAGATAGTAAGCAGGCATTCAAATTTGCAAAAAGACATCATTGTTAATTTTGTTTACCCTATAGAGTGTGTGTCTACTTCTGTTCACTTATGGATTCACAGAATATTTCCATTTGACCAAGGATGCCATGCCTAAAGATGTTATATTCTTGGGGAAGATGACAGAACTAGCAGAGATGGCAAAATTAACTTGTTTGAGTAGAGAAAGATCAACAACTACATTTATGAGTGCCTGGAAACCCCTTATGGACTTATGAACTTGTGATTTATGGGTTTGAAGGTTTGAAAGGTAGCTTACGGAAAGAAGGAAATTATGATGTAACCTTAGAGAAAGGATAAAATATGAATGCATTTATAACTGCTGTCAAAAAGATTGGAAGCAGCTTCTTTATAATCTTTTATTGTCTTTTTTCTTTCTTCTTTTCTATTTCTTTTTCTATTTTCTTTCTTACATTCACTATTCTTCCTTATTTTCTTTGTAACTTTTCAATTTGAATTGTTTTTATCTTGTTAAAAAAATTCTTCAATAAAAATTATATTAAAAAAAAGAGGTTATATTCTTACCTGTCAACTCATTTAAGTTTTCATCAGAAATGAAGTCTATGCCAAGCTTCTTGCCATTTTCTTTGTAGATTTTTTTAAGAGTCTTATTAGGAAGCACATTGTAGAAATCATTTGCACCATCTTGTAATTCCACCTAGACAAGAAAAAAACATTTACTTTTCTGTGAAAATATCAGGACATCTGAAATAAAGAGTTTATTATTCAATACTATGCACATTTTACTCACAAATCAAGCCTATTATGCGCAAAGCAAGCATAAAGTGACTTAAATTTAAATCCTACAGAGGTACTTGAAATTAAATCTTAGTCAATACAATTGGATTTATTTTATAGTAAACATTTATAACCTTATTGCATTCTTTGTAACTGATTAGAACTTAACTGCCCTTTTCAACCTATAGGGGTAAAATATGACTCTTATGTTTTCTTGTAAGAAACAAAGTCATTTCCTGTTTCTTGTCCTTGCACTTTTTTTCCCAAATAAAAAGCAATTAAAACACTGCGGGGAGAGATAATATCCTTTCAAATTATACCAAGGAATCTACCTGCTAAGAGGTTAACAACAAATAAACACTTAAAAGGTAGCTTCACTGAAATCATTGAGACTTAATTCAAAGTAGAGTCCTTTGCATTTAGTTTCCTTGTCTCTTTACACTATCTTTATATCATTATCATATATATATACAGAGAGAGGGAGAGGGAGAGAGAAAGAGAGAGAGAAGTTGTAGCTACAGCTGAATTCATGAGTTAGCACGTTATGATTTTGCCAAAACTGTTGCAATTAATTACAATAATTACAGAACACTTTTTAGCCCTCTCTTCCCTATGTACTAGTTTTGACTAGTACTAGGACAATTCAGAAATATTACGTATGCAAAAGTCAAGTCTTACATTGCACTGCTATTAATTCTTTCAACTCAAATCATCCATGTTTTTAATTTATTTGAAAAAATCAGCTCACATCATATCTTAGAAAAGATCTCTAACAGCCTTACTTCACACCCAGTGGCTAGAGCTGCAGCTTTAAAACAATTCTCTGCTTTTTCCTTCAAGGTAGAGAGTTCCCTTAAGGAAGGAGCACGCAAGTAAAATTCTAATTCAGTGTAAGAAGGGATGATATTAGGTTTCACACCTCCATTCTTTATTATACCTACAATGAGGAAGAAACAGGTCATTGAAATGAGAGTTTGGCACCTAGGCTTTCTGAGGCTTATTGCAAAACAGCTAAACAGAAAAGTCATGTTATTTAAGCACTATCAATGAGAACTCAGTCTGAAGATATTCTGACATTAAAGAAAAGAAATGGACATCTGGATTCCAAAATCACGGGCCTCCCTTGCTGCCGTGTTCCTTTGTTGTTTACTTGTTGCTCTTAAAATTGAAAAAAAAATGTCTCATCCTGTAACAAGCAGGGTTAAATAAATAAGAAATATCAAGCAGAAGCTGAATATATTTGTATCAGGAAGAAATTAAATTTCTTACATTTAAATTAAGACATAAAACCATCCCTTTCATACACACACACACACACACACACACGTCTTTTTCAGATTATTCAAGTACTATTTTTTTCCCAAAAAGTTTCACATGAAACTGAATAGGGGCTAGCATGTTATGCCATGTCCAAATCAAGAGATAAAATAAATTTCAAACTAGTGAAGGTAAGATATATGTATATAAATTATATATGAAATGAATATTCACATAAATTTTATATACATATATCTTATGTATAGTACTTTCACTGGCATGTGTATGTATACATACACACACATACAAATATACGCACACACATATACACGTACAATACACACATACATGTACACATTTTTATTTGCTCAAATCTAACATGTACCTCAAGAAAAAACAGTTGATGCCAAACGGTTGTAAGAGTAAGAATTACTTTATACTTCCCTGCTCTGACTTGAAAGTATGACTTAATCTCAGATTTACTCTCGTTCTAATATCACGTACAGAAACAATTCTGTCATGAAACTGAAGTGGCAATATAACATAATTGCAGAATTACTAAAATCAAAATTAGTAGTGCATGACAATAAACCTGTTAAAGTCAGGAAAGAAATATTTAAATCTCACATGATATACCTGATACATCTACATTTTAGTTTACAATTATTTATCTTTCAAGAAGAGGGACTCTTGATCTGCATATATGTATACATTTTGTATTCAACCTTTGTTTCTTTCTTCTTGGATGCATATTCTGAAGATTTTTTTCTCCAGATGTGCTCCAAGTTTTTCTGTGAGAAATCACTGTAATTCTAATTCCAATAGGATTCATCTATTTTCTCTTCTATGGGCACCACAGTAATTCTTAGGCAAGTAAGTTCATAGCCAGAAGAGAACTTCAAAATAAAATAAAGGAGTGGATATTCAATATAACCATTTTAAATGGACTATCCTGGAAAGTCTAGTTTTATTCATTTTTGTTGCCTGATTCTTTTGTTTATTTTCAGAACAATGTATTTATTTAAAAAGAGTTAAAGTCAGAATGTTATTGTCTTGAGCTATATTTGCGATATCCTAAGACTTGCTATATGACTTATGTATTAAACTTCTATTCATTAAATATAATGTAAAAATGATACCATCTGGCATTAATAAAACACCCAGTTTCATTCAGGTATGAGGAAACTTGTGTCCCTCCAGACTCTTACATATAACAAAAAGATCTCTTAGCACAGAAATTAATAAGACAGCTAAACTCCTTTCAAGAAATATCTGAAAAGGCCAAGTGTGTAGTCTTGAGTCCCTGAGTAAGCAGTATCTGATTCCCAATGTTTGAGATTATAATTTCCATAATCATAGATTATTCCTCATATTAAGATTTATAGGATATATAGTTCAAAAACCCTAGAAGGCAATGTTTCTGCAAGCATAAAACTACCTTGAGCTGTACAATGTTTCTGAAATCCACATACAAAATCATCTTGCTTTGTCAGCAGCCCATTAAATGATGAAATCTTTTGAATTGCTATTGCCATGTAGAATTAATTTAATCAAGCAAGATGAAAATAAAAGAATGGAGCAGTCCTATACCCAATCAAACTGTTCCATACTTAGATATTTCTGTAGTAACCAATACAACTGTATGAAATATCCTGAGAAATTCCTCATCTGAAGAGAATTTAATAACTAGAACAGTGAACAGTCCCTGCAGTTTTCTTGGCAAATTTTTGGTTTGCCATTGCCTGCTTCCTAGGGCTGATAGAGAGTGACTGGGCCAAAGTAATCCAACTGGCTTCATGCCTAAGGCAGCACTAAAACTCATGGTTTCCTGGTTTCTAGCCTGGTGCCTTTAACTAGTACCCCAGACTGGCTCTCTATAAACTGCTTAACCCTATCTACATAATCATCCACAATGTCATAATACTTTCATTTTAAAGGCAAAAAGCTGTTTGAGCTGCAAATTGGCATATAAATGCCTTGTTTACTTGAATATTTTTCTTCTGATTTGTTTCAATGGTCAGAAGGAAAGCTAAAGGCTTACTAGAAAGTTAATGCAATAAATATAGCTACCTTAATGATGCAAAAGTTAGTTTAAAATGATAGAAAAAAATAATCTTCTGCAGCCAGCCTAACCAGCACAATTCACCTATGATAACTCCATTACGATCAAGCTAATATGGACCCAAAATGGACAGAAGGAAAAAAACACAGTATCAGCACAGACTTGCACCTGGAAAAAGGGAGTTTCACAGCAATATTCGCAGATTTCCTTGAAGTCCCCATGCCAACTTCCATGCAATTTTGAGGGGATGCTGTCACCAGGGGGACAAAACACCATCACCCCTACCACTTAGTCTCTTCCTCTAGTGTTAGTAAACTGTACAAATTACTGTTTGATGGGGGCAGTATATAAACTGAAGTAGGGTTTTAAAAAACCCTCTTCTTTCTTAATTAAGAATGAACTCTGCCTAACACTTCAGAAGCTGTACCATTCTAAGTTAACAGAATATGAAGCGAAACCTTCACAAAGCAGAAATTGAGTGGACGGAAATACAGAAAAGAAACAATTATCCAGAAAAGGAATCTTAACTGGAGATAATTTGCCTCCATCTGTGGGGAAAATATTTCACTAAAGAAATGTTTTATCTGGGTCCAAAATATATATCATGATCCACTTGATACACAGAGCTTTTTATCTTCTATTTAAAGTGTATTAATTCCTTACTGTATATGCCATAGCATTCTGAAAGGAACACCCAACAACTGGAAATAAAATCCAAATATTCTATTAAAACAAAATCAAATAGCATGGATAAATGGTGATTAAAATACCCTAAGGGCAATATTTGGAAAAATAGATTGCCTATCTCTTAAGCAAGATTTTTTTACTTTTTATACAATTTACAAGAGTTTTATATTTAGTATTCAAAGAAACAAAATGGATTCCATTTTACTTCATTCTTCACTGTTATTAAAAACAGTACTGGCCAGTTGATACGCCATATATTGCATACAATAATTTTATCTTAAAAGCCAAGGACAAAACATCCATAAGCTTAAAGCTTCACGGTTAGGATTATCTTTGGGATGCAAGATAATTCAGCCTACTTCAAGAAAAGCCTTAAACTAAGCATTTATAATAAAATTATTGATTCCACAATGATGATTTTTAAATTTATTTCCTCAGATTACATGTGTAGAAAGAGAGTACAGCTCTTCCTAGGTCAAAGGCCACATTTAGTTTTTGACTGCATGGACTTCAGAATGTAGTAATAAAACTACATTTTTATTTTATTTACATTTAATTAAAAGTAAATATACTAATTTAATTTTACACCTTGAAAATGTGAATTAATTAATTTACCTGCAACTGTTTAAAAGCTAATTTGATAGCATTAACTGCTTCATACTTCCATATAAAAAGCAGAATTCCTACTGCTATGCATTGAATACCACATTGGAATAGTTAAAACTATTATTTGTACACTGCTTAATTACTACTGAAGCAGTAAAGAAGTTTCCTAAATGACTAAATAAAATAAGTATTATAGTATCTCCAGTAATCTCTGAAAGGGATTATTATTATAGAGAATTCACGTTTTGAAAAAAACTAGGTTAGACGTATTTGTATAGGAATCATATGTGAGTATACGTTCAATTACTGAATCATACCAAACTCTAGTAATGTACCGATGACATGAAGTGCGATAAAATATTTGAGTTTTAGGTGCTTCAGTTTTTCCTACTACAAGAAAACCCACAAGCTTGGCACTACCTACATCCTATCTAAACAGAGAGAATGGATCCCATCGGAGGCATAGGATGAGAGAGGCTTCTAGCTATTACTGTACAATATACACACTGCAAACAATGCTTGAAAACTTACCGGGCAGAAAAATAAACACACAAGCAACTGTTCATTTTTTAACATTAACATGCCAGATATAACACATTTGCTTAATCAGGGTCTGATATAACTTGCTGGACATAAGAGTGAAGGAAGGTCTCACCATGAACTCTCCATGTTGGTTTCATTTGCTGTCTTAAAAGTGACAGATTGTTGTATGCAAGAACAGCAGCATCTAATGCATTTATTCCTTCCCAAGGGTAAGCAGCAGCATGAGAAGCTTTTCCATAGTATTTCACAGTCACACTAGGAAATAAAAGTCATCACTTGTTTTTAAACAACTTTAAAGGAAAAAAAAATCCCTTTGGATTCATTTCATGAAAATAATTTTAAGGAGATAAGTGCATGCTGCATTGTATTACTCCAAAGCTCTACAAAGATCTGAAACAGCAGATCAACACAAGGTAACGAATGGAAGGTATTTGATACAGAGCTTCCATATTCAAAGCTGATCTTTGACACTGCAAAACAACACCTGATATTTCTACGAATTAGAGTGCTGATACAACACAAAAAATTAAACCTGGTGGAAATTAGTGAATTAGTACCCGAAACCTTTAGCAAATCCTTTTAAAAAGAGCATTTTAAACATGTATGAACTACATAATGAAAACATCCTGTAATTTTATTAAAAGCTTATCTTCTCTACTCGCTTCTTTCTACAGTAGTTGTGCTTGCACCAAGACAGGATTTGTTTAAATCATGGTTTATTGTTCAAGCCAGTCTATCTAAAAAATGAGCAAAATAAATGGGGTATGTTTCCCTCCATTCTTTTTGGCCAGTACCCAGCGCAGAGCAAACTAGGATAACTCAATTTACTCATTCCAGGACAGGAAAATGAACAAACATCATTATCGTTTAGTACTATATGCTAACCAGACTAATATCCAGTATAATCATCCAGAAATCATTTCTAGACTGCAAAAAACCCCATTTGTTTTTACAGAACACAATACACCTGCACTGGAAAGGTATGTGTACAGATTAATATCTCCCAGTTATTCAAATAAAGAAATCCATTTGTCATAGAGGAGCTCCATAAATGCCAAGGACCTTTAAACAGAACCAATTACTAGACCAGAATAATGGGGTAATCTAAGACAGTAGATGCTTCTATTGTGAAATGTGCATGATTGCCAAAATACATTTTACCTCCCTTCCAAAGATAAACTGAAGTCTTATTTGAGTTGAGCTTGACTATGATTATATCCATATAGTTCTGCTGGCAATGAAATGAAAACTCTTTGCCACTGTTTTCCTCCAGAATGTATTTTTGATCTCCCAGTGTCACCTACAGCCATGCTACTCGCTGGTGGTTTTTCATCTGAGTACTGAGTCAAACTCTAATCAGCTTTTTTGAGTTCAGCCAAGGTTGAACAGATGCGGCCGCCCATCTGTTTATTTCAAGATAAACATGTCTGTATTTGTTACATCTAGAAAAATAATACTTTGACAGCTATGACAATGAAAAACATTATAAAATGTAGCATTTGACAAACAGGAACTGAGTTACAGATGCAATCTTAAAAATACTAACAGTAAGTAAAAAGTGAACGTTTATAAAGCACTATGAAAACTTAGTCAAGAAACTGATTTCAGGAATGGAGTCAAAATTGCAAGCCCTATTTTGCTGATTTAGTATTTATTGCCAAATATCTAAAACTCCTTAGAAACAGAAATGTTTCAGTAGCTGCACCTACTTTGTAGAACAGCCTCCTCTAAGAAATTAGGCTGGTCTCAACTGTCCCAACCTTCCAGATACTACTGACAACTGAGTTATTCTATGATGATAGGATGCCCACCTGGATTGATTTTACGCATAGATTTTTATGTTTTAAATGTTTATATATTTAAGTTCCAACTGTGGATGTTTTATTTTAAATCCTTGTATTGCTCCTAATTACAGTAAGCTACGAAGTGTCTCATAACTGCAGTGGTGGAAATATGATAAATAGCTAATAATTATTGATTTCACTTTATCGTAGCCGTCTAAAAACCACTACACAAATACATGAAGCTAACTATAATTAATTGTAGTTTGTTTTCACTTACATCCATGTCCTTTTTATCTTATGGATGTCTTCGAAATTTAGGAAAAATTACACTTAAAACAAATCCATTCTGCTTATATATTTATAATACTTTAAAATACTTAACATACTAGGGAATTCTGATTCTACAAAGAATTATAAGCAAAGGAATATGCACATCTTTCAAAGCATATGATTTTTGGATTATATTTCATATTTTCATTGACAACATGGAACATTATGCTTCATCTAATGCTAGATGCCCGCACTCATCTTTTATTTGCATATAAGCACTGATCAAGCATTATCAACTTCTAACCTCAAATGGGAAATAGGTGTGCATAGTCTAACACCCACACATCTATCTGTGTGGTAGGAAGAAGTCTGCAGTAAAATTATATTGTCTTAAAATGATTATTCTACTTTATGTGCACACTCAGAGTATCACAATAGCGCAGCGGCTTAATAACGCTGAAAGTTGCCGGCCAGAAATGGTCGACGCTTCAGCGGTTCGAGTCCA